TTTATTTTTAATTAAAATAAATTTAATCAGTAATTCTTTTTAATTTTTTTAGTTTGAAAAATCACTGAAAAAATATTTTTTAATTTTAATTAAAATAAAATTTATCAAAAATCTTTTTTAAATATAATTTTTTTTTTGTAAATGTAAGTACTTTTTTGTTATATTTGTTTAATTTTAAATATTCAAATACTTTTTTGTTCAAAAAATGTTCAAGGACTTAAACGTTCAAAATATGAATGTTCATTGGGTTTTTCCAAACTTTTTCATTATTTTACTACATTAACCAGTTGTATAGGTCATAAGGATGTATCTGTCATGTTTTAGAAAGTCCAATGACTTATTTAACATGTTTTGAGCAAAAATGCAAAACAAATAATAAAAATCTAATTTCCTTTGTTTTAAATAATTTACTGGAGATGTACTAAGATTCAACTTGATTGGCTAAATTTTTGACCTCGCCAAACAAAGTTAAAGCCAAGGACCGTAGCAATATTTGAACGAAAGTCGGTGAAGACCAAAGACTAAACCATTTAGTTCGGTTAAATAGGCTTACACATTGAATACGTTATAATAGCCTAAAAACCGATCAAACCCAAAACATGTTCGTGTCGATAATTTGGGAAATAAGAGTTTTGCAAATTTAATTTGATATGATGGTTAGTTGTGTAGGATACCATAAATAATAATTGGAAATTGGAATCGGATGAATAAGTGTAAAAAGGAGTATTTTATTTTGAGCGATGGAAATGTGCATTTAAAAAAGTTTAACATTTATGGGAATGAATATGAATTAAAAGCAACGAGACAGCATGTGGTTACAATGTGAAAAGGAACGGCTGTGGAATTTACGTGAAAGAAACGCGCCGCCAGTGAGCGTAAGGATTGGTGTAAAAAGGTTTGGAGTTGTTGCACTATAGCTGTAAGGGTAGGACGGATAGCGACGGGTGGAGCGTGAAAAAAGGGGGTTACACAAGCCAAGAAGTAGAACCCTCTTTTCTTTTCTTTTTTTTTAAAATATTTTTAATTATGATTTAATAAAAAACTCTATTTATTTAAAAGAAAAATGAAATTGGGTTGTTGGCAAAAACGCAGACCTCTGATTAGATTATATAATTACAAACCCATCAAATCTTTGACCAATGCTGCACCCTCAATCTCCACCTTAGAATCAATCACCCCAACCTCGGATTCAAAAATAAATATGCACCATCCAAAAAAAATACTTTTAAATTACTAAATGAATTAATTTAGGGGTCGTTTACCAAACACTTACCCGGAAAGTGATTATCAGTAAAATTTAACACTATTATCTACGTACTGATAATATTTTAGTCCACCAAAACGACATCCTATGCAACAATTTACCCGGTAAACACTTATTGTGGTAAGAGTCGTTAGTCGTCGCCCTCACTTACCGGGTAAGATTCATGGTCCTTGTCTCGCTCTTACTGGGTAAGATTTTTGGTCCATACCATATTTTTCCGATGAGGTAACATGACTTGGTAAGCACTTACCCGAATAAGTGTTTGATAAACAACTATTTACTCTTAATTGTAATTGTAGTTTCTAGCCTTGTGCATCTTATATTTGAAGATTAAATGATGAAATAAATATTTATTTTAACACCAAATGAGGTATTAAAATAGACATTTATTTTACAATGGAACAATATAATAAGACTTTTTTCTTCAAATAATTATTTTGTAAAAATTAAGGAAATGTTTTTTTTTTTTAAATTAAGATATAAAAATATAGTTTTGATTTCAAATAAAACGCCCATGGTTTTTAGATTAAAGACAATGAGTATGCAAATAATAATAAAATTGTCATGAGGGTAGAGCCTTATCATAATAAATTATGGATTTGGTCCTTAGGTTTTGTCAATTGTTGTGAAAGAATCCTTTATCTTTGCAATTTGTATTGGATTTGCTCCCTCATACTAGCAGTCGTCCATCTTTTCCGTACTTTATCTTCTCCGTTAAGTACGATGTCAAAATGGTCAGTTTGCTTTTTTTTTTCTTCTTATTTTATGATTCTTAATTAGCTTTTAACCCAATTTTAGCAGGTCCGAACACCCCTCGGCTTCTACCAGCGTAAACCCCGCTCCTTCATAGTCTGTACTGGCATCCCCCGTTACCGGTGCCCCATCATTCGTCTCCTTCCCCACGCATCTCCTCACCGATGATCCCCATAACCGGTCTCCCCCCCATTTTTGTCCCTCGTCTCCTACCCTACGCATCTCCGTCACCGATGATCCCCATAACCGGTCTCCCCCTGATTTTCGTCCCTCGTCTCCTCCCCTACGCATCTCCATCACCGGGCACCACTAGGAACCACCACTCATCTCAATTTATACTAAATCTCTAATTCCACTTGCGGGTTTCTTTTCGCCAGTTACTCAGTTAGAACAATCAATTTGCCAATAAATTGCTCAAATCCACAACCAACTTAATTGGAAATCAACATTGAATTCTAAACCAAAAACCCTAATCTAGAAACTAATTTATTGCAACATCAAAACATAAATAATTCTACGATCAAAACCCAATTTTTCAGGGTTCGTTAATACCAAAATCTAACAAAATTTTGATTCAAAAGAACCGTGTTCCATGAAATTTTAAACAAAAAACCCTAGTTTCTCATATAGAGGAGGGCTATTAATGGTAGAAGAAGACCTCGATGAACTGGGAATGAGATGAGGAGGCAGTGAGGATTGGAGTTAGGTCGTTGGAATTGGACGCGAGAGGAGATAACTGAATGTGGCTGGATTTTTCGCATAGGGAGGGTAGGGGAACGATGAAGACAAGGTGAATGAGGGGTGAGTGTGAGGGACCATATCCAATACAAATTACTTAGATGGAGGATTCTTTTATAACAAATGGCAAACCTAAGGAACCAGATCCATAATTTACTGATAATAATTTCTGATCGAGATACATCTTGAGTGTCGTTTAAAAGATAATAGATATTTACACTTACTTTTTGTAATTCAAAAACTAATGATGCATTATAGTGCTATGGATGGGTTTTTTTTAATAAGAAACTCATACATTATTAACATTTT